AGACTAGAGAAAAACCAGGCAACGAGGTTCTGATTAGATTGAATACCTTAAAGACACTCGAGCACAAAATGTAAACAATCACAGTTTACTACAAGCATAATTGATGTGAAACAAGTGGCGTTTGAACTACTAATCATAAGTTGTCGACAAGTTGATTTAGTGGAAAGTCAAATTCTACATCACTACATTCAAAAACACCATGTTGGGTGGAACAATGATCTTTTCAAATCAGTAAAATCCACTTTGTGATTTACGTATCAACGTCCAACAGAAACAAAAATACAACTGGCAATATCAAACACAGTCTGTTAGCGGGACATAGAATAAATCATGTTCCATACACGATTGTGTTGTTGCATACTGATTCGCTTTCTCGTATCCAATCAGCGCTAGTCGATACTAGGGGGAACATTCTACAATCTTCTGGTATAAGAAACCGTAAATATACTAACGTTTTGGGCTTCTTTGAATTCCATCTAACCTTGTTATCGGAACAGTGACAACGGAACGCAGTTTACGCCCACAATCTTCTCACAATTTTGTCGGCAGAACGGAATCCATCACGTCCAAACATTTCCATTCCACCCCCAATCAAATGGTCAGGTGGAACCATTTATGAGTACATTTAAAACTGCTCTAAAACATCTAAAGTGGAGGGGACCACCGAAGAGATCTTAGAGAGGTTCCTGCTAATTTATCGCTCTACACCGAACCCTCAGACGACTAATGAGGTCTCTCCAACAGAAGCTCTACATGGCAGGAAAATACCAACACATTTCGATATCGTCCGTCCAGCGCCAGCTCTTGAGCCTCAGCGGAACCTAGAGATGGAGAAGCAGTTCCATCGACATCATGGGGCACAAAGACGATTGCTTACGTCGAGTCAAAAAGTACTTGCTATGGAATATCGTGGAAAACATCCTACATGGACAGCTGGTGGCATCTTGAAAAAGAAAGGCAGCGTGACTTATGAGGTTTCAGTTGGCTCAGAAGTTTGGGTGCGTCATGTTAACCAACTATCATTGTAATATAGTCTACTTCCTGTTCAACCGTGTTCCGATTTTGGAGAACGCCTTGAGGGAATTGGTGTCCGAGAATACTCAGCATTAGGAATAGCTGGGTTGTAATAAACAGAGAAGTATAACACAGTCACTGCAATCTCGTCAACATCACACATCGTTACGACCAGCAATCTTTTCACTATATCCATGCAGTCATCCACCTCTCCTACACATATTCGCTACTTGACACCCTACTCGACTAGCGAAACACCAATACGATCGACCGGTCACCGAATCTTCGGACAATCAACACAGTTAAGCATATACAGTGTGCATTGAACTGTCAAGTTTACAAACGGGATTATACTGGGCACACCATATAACACAAATCTCATTGAATATATTATCTCATAAAAAGAAATATGAGTTAGTTAACATTTCACTTTTTCAAGTCGATGGGCGAGTGTATATGAGTCATAAATGATAGATAATATTTTTTGAATATAGAAAATGAATTCTCATTCCTGTCTGTTCACAATCCACTAAGTAGAGGAAACTTTGAATTAACTGCATCCAAAATACCAACCAGGAAGTACAATGTTCCAGCAAGACCTACACACATAAGTTGAAAACAAATTAAATGTAACCGTTATGGTGAACTAGCCACATTTTCAAAATAGTCAATACTTTTCATTCGGATATTTAAACAATGGTCAACATTTTATGTTAAAAATTCAAAAAAAGAGCGAATAGTTTATTACATTATGATTGATAGGAATAGTAGTCAGTCAGTCAGTCAGATGCAACGTAGAACTTCGTACGTAAGTACATCAGTTCATGTCGCCATACCACATCAGCACAGAGAAGTAATCGTCAATTCAAATCCAATAGTAGGAGAGGTAGTAAGAGAATTAGGAGTAATCGGAGAGGTTAGGATTAGAAGATATTATTCAAGAAGTATGATTCAGTGAGATAAGTTCAGAAAGTCAAAACTAGAGGTGTTGAAGAATCCAGAAGATTAGGATTTGAGAGAACACAAAGAATAAACGCACCGGCACCATTGCAAACGATTTTGAGCCATGTCCACCTCAACTGATGAAGTTTCAGTACTTCATCTATTGATCTGCCATTCTTACCTAGCACCCGTTTCCTAATGACAGTGTTGCTCACTTGGGTGTCCCACGATATACGAGCAATGCTTCGAAGACACCTATGATCGAAAACCAATAACCGACGAATATCTTCTACTCTCACTGGCCATGTTTTGCAGACATAAAGTTAGACGGAGCAAACTACTGCGCAGTACACTCGTCCTTTAGTCAGCAAACGGATATCTCGACTTCGCCATGAGTGACGCAGGTTGGCAAAAGCCAATCGAGCCTTCTGTATCCGAGCTGAGATTTCGTCAGTCACCAGGCCATCAGCACTGATGAGACTCCCAAGATAAGTGAAGCGGTCTACACGTTCGACTACTTCACTACTTATCACTAGTTCAGGTGCCGATGCAACCCAATCTTGAAGCAACATTTTGCATTTCGAGGGTGAGAAACGCATCCCGAACATGCTTGCATTGTTGCTCAGTGTAGTCAGAAGACTCTGCATTTTGTCAGCGTCTTCAACAAGTAGGACTATGTCATCGGCATATTCCAAGTCGATAAGCGAGCCACCTGGTAAAAGGTCTACTCCTGAAAATCCAGACGAGGATAATGTTATATCTAGGAGCATGTCTATGACAAAATTGAACAAGAATGGAGAAAATGGACATCCCTGATGGACACCACTTGAAGTGAAGAGCTCCGGTGAGTTTGCCATAAGCTCTCACTCGACCAGTGGTGTTCGAGTAGAGAGCCTATAAGCAGTTAATGCGTTTCTTTGGTACACCTTTCAATGACAGACACTGCCACAGATCCTCACGATCAACAGAGTCAAGTGCCGCTTTTAGGTCTAGGAAAACAATTGTTGTAGGACGCCTAAATGTGTGCCTGTGTTCCAGGACCTGTCGTAGTGTGAAAATGTGGTCTATACATCCACGTCCAGGTCTGAAACCAGCCTGGTTTTCTCTAATTACTGTAGTTCCATAAATATATATAATAAAGTGACATAGAGTTTGATTCCAAAAACAGAATTGAATAACTTGTCTGCCATGAAAACACAAATGATTCACTTAAACCCTACTGAATTCCTCTCATTCAATAGTGTCAATATTTTTTTCTGTTTAGCCGATTACAGATACATTTTTTTACAGTTGCTATATTTCTAATCACAATGATATAGATAACTGTTTCACCTAGGACAAATCAACTTCATTAGTTAGTTTCCTATGAGGACTTTCACAAAATTATCAATCAAAAGTCAATCAATCCACAGTATACATGAAAACAATGAATTCATAGCGAAATGAACAATCCAATTAAACAGAATTTCTTAAATACTTTGTTTTTGTTCTGTTTCACTTCAATTCTAAATATTATAGATATTTTCAGGCAGAGCTTTGGAGGTTTGTGTTTTTTTACACACCACTGGTTTTCTCGAGTTTGCTCTTCACGAGCTTTCGTTAGGCGCCGAAGTATTATTGAGGCCAATATTTTAGATACTATATTAGTTAGACTTATTCCCCTGTGATTGTAACAATAAGACTTTTGTCCTTTCTTATAAATTGGGACAATCAGTGATTGAGACCAGTCGGTTGGGATTACGTCCAGTTCCCAGATTCTACCTAAGATCTCAGTCAATCTAGCTGCTAAAACTGGACCACCATCCTTAAATATCTCAGGGGTCAGTCTATCAGGACCTGCAGCTCGTCCTCGTTTCAGATTTCCTAACGCTTTCTCAACGTCATTAAGACTAGGCGGACTTACATCGACTTGCCATTCAGGATTACTAGAGATCGTGGGTAACCGAAGAGTGGCTCGAGGCCAGTTGAACCGATCCCTAAAGTGTTCTACCCATCGATCCAGTCTCCTGGATTGAGAATAAATAATAGTCCCGTCATTTTCTGAGATAGTCTCACTTACACTAGGATTCCTAATACCAGTTTCCTTGATAAGTCGGTAAAGTTGTCTACTGTTGCCGATCGCCGCTGCCTTTCCCATCGTAGTAGTTATAAGAAGGATAGGAGTTGAGTAGTGTGGTGATGGTGTCTACTGTTCATAACTCTACCTCAGGCCCGTAAACTAATTGGTCGCTACTGTTACTGACGATGGATGACATTCAAGCTCAGTTGCTTTTGTTTCTAAAGTAAAATGAGGAACGCTGAGTCTGATTGGAAAAACAACTCACACTTTTACAGACGATTATCTGGAACATCAACGCAAAGAAAAGGAGTAACAAATCATCCGCCTTAAACCGAGTCTACTCAGATTTTCATGCCGACAACGAACAACACTGTAAGAATTAACAGGCAACTCTGCTCAACTTCAAGATCACTGTCATCAGCAATCAAACAGTCAGTCATAGTCAACAGGAAGCCTAACACAGAAATGTGCTAGCCCAAACTCCAATGCCACATCAGTTCAATGAGATAAAATTAACAAGATCAATAGAAAATCAGTTGCATTCATGTGGTAACGATCATAGTAAGAACGATCAAGCATTGAGGATATGGTCGTAGAAGACAGTGAGAAAGTGAGTACGAAGAAATAGTACAAGTTCTGGAGGGCACATCATGACAGTGAAAGTACATGAGCCACTACCACCGCTGATTCTCAGACATCTCAACTAATCTCCAATCACTGGCTGTAGTTGTTGTGCGCACTCCATACACACAACCAGGACCTACCAGCCTGCCATCTATTTTGAGTTACAGGTCAAAATCAATCGATACTCCACATATAATGCAGTTTCACCTAACGCAAAAAGTTGAAAGCAGTTACGAAATCTTCACGACTGGCGTATTTGTTCCGTGCTTACACTTTGTATATGTTAGTATCGAAATGAAAACTGAGATGATAAACTAATGTGATAGAATAACAGAAACAAATGGGAAAACACTACACAAACCTTCCATAAGTGAGTACGGACAATCAGCAACACGGGTCGCATTTTTAAAGCAGTCGGTACACCATTCAGCGAACTAAAGAACAAACGTAAAAGCAACAAACAATAATGAGTTTTCGATTTTAATCGCCTAGTTGATTATTCTGATGGCTACATAAATCTCCACAAACGTTTCGAATAGCTAGATAGATATCACGTAAAATGGATATTGATTGCAGTTATTGATCTGTCCATTGAAACGTGAACAAAAACATTGGAAGGAAACCGCTTTAATTAAAACTGGCTTTCGTACACAAAGTTAACCGAACACAATGATGCGGGGGTCCAACGGGAGCAGTTGTACATACTGATTCAACGTTGCAATACATTGGATTTATTCAAGCAGTCAGCTTAAATTAATCGGTCGACTGACTGTTGCGTCAGATAACTGAGTAGCGCTGCTAAATGCTTCCAAATCGAAAGTGTCAGTGATAACTAACGACCATTAAAATTCAACAGGGAAATGCTGACCTTCAAAGCGGTAAATAAGTAGTGCGAATAATAAGGAGAATTTATCTTATCCGGACATAGAAATTAAACCCAGAATACATTGGCAAATCGATATTTCCTCATAATTTCACACAAATATAACCTTTCAGTCCATCGAATGATTGAGTAGCAGTAATCACAGGTAGTTTTATACATTAAACTAAATGCATAATACATATCTTCTTTGTGTATTGTATGAAATACAGTACTACACAAACTGAGCAGTTCAACGGGGTTTCAACCTCTAGGTGAACAGATCATAGTCTAAGTGTCATCTGTCCAAAAATATGCACAAATAACTTCACAAAATACATCCATTCACACTTTAAAAATATAAAAGTATGACGATTGTAGGGTAATGTACACACATACACACACGCACACACCACGTTCCTTTATCAAATGACAATTTCATTACGAACTAGGGTGACAGAAAATGAATTTACACTTCATTGATCAAAAACACGCGATAGTGTACTAGGATGTGTCTCAAACTGGACACATGTAACAGAGCAAATATCACAGAACATCGCAAAATTCTGTACACAACACTTATAATCTGCATACAATTACACATTCATACATATATGTCCGAAAAACAAAACACAAAATGTATTATACACTTCAAACGCATTGAACACTAACTAACCTTTAAAGCTCTATACAGATATTTAGGATCTTGAGTTGTTTGATAAATCTCTAATAGAACGAAACCACTTCCAGCTGAACCATGACATAGACCACAGCCTTTATGAAGTAGACCACGAGTCCATACAGTTTCTCCACCATCTAATGCACACTTCAAATATTTATTTTCACCTGTAATCTAAATAAAAAGTTGTGAACAACACAAAGGTTGAATTACGATCGATGATGAATTGCTGTTCATGGACATCGGGAAAGCAGACATATCTATCCAAACAAAAGACCGATGAAACTGCTCTCCTGTGATAACAGTGCGATTACACTGGTCCAACACATCATTTAAGCATTCACATCTTATCATTACGTCATAAACCTCATTAAAATTTGATTTGAGTAAACCTGCCCACATATGTAGCCACGAGGCAACACACACTTATAAGAGGTACTTTACTTCCAGGTACAACCCACTCAACTCATGATACCAGATCAAATTCCGGTTGGTTTACTAGCACAACCAAACATTCAATCGAACTAACAATCTAACAATCATGAAGCGATGGAGCAACGTCAATGTACGTCTGTCATTTGTACTGAGGTTGATTCTCGCAAGAGTTGTCAATGCGTATTTCTTAGGGGTTGTTCCATACTGGGATGAAACAGCTAATTAGTGTTTCTTGCTTTTGAATAACTGTTCAGAGTTAATCTGTATTGTAAACTACAAAATAATTAACTCGTTTTCTAAACTGTCATATTGCTTACCTTGTAGGCTGAAAGCATAAGTGGAATAACACCCGTTGCACCATGACACCAATGTACTAAGATATCATGACTTTCGCTATCGCCTAAACTAGCAGACCAGTTTCCACTAGTTAATTGTATTTGACTCATCCAATGAACAGTAGGCAGAATCAACTGATCTAACGAATTTGATGAGATGCTACCAGGAAACTGACGATATACCTTTAAAGTAAAACAAAGTCGAAATGAGTCTCATATAGTTAGTAATAAGAAGTGTCGAGATAGTAATTAGTACTTCCCCAAAGTTTCCGGAAGAACTCTAGGAAACTGTTTTCTGTGTACTGGTAATGGCAGTTTTCTCAGGAAAGATCATAACCACCGTAATTGGGAAGCTGGTATGCGCCGAAATATTTTATCTTCTTTGACAACGCAGTGGAAATATTCGACAATAATAATTAAGGGAATAATAAACGATAAAATGAGGAAAAAGTTATGTGCCAACGTTTGTATAATACTACTGTGGTGTGAGCTACTTGTAAGTAGTATATGACGTGAGTGTCAATGTAATGTCTGGCGGCAGAAGATAGGGGAAGATTAAGAAAGGAAGAGTTAGAAAACAATGGAATTTGTATGAAACGCATGAATAGCAGTGACAATGGATTGATGTTTTGCAACAGGAACAGTCCAGTTCGATAGGATGGACTGGTACTTTGCAAATAAACGATTTACGATATGGTTTTCCAATTTTACTGAGTAACTCTGTAATTTTCGTTAAACACAATTCGGTTGCCCTCACCTGTGTTCTCTTTCACTACAGTAGTAGTGGTAGTAGTCGTAGCATTAGTAGTAGTATTAGTATTAGTAGTAGTAATTTTCGCTAAATACAATTTGGTTGTCCTCACCTGTGTTCTCCATCACTACAGCAAAAGACCCCCGTAGTAAGTTGGCGCGATGAATGATACGTCCGCAGGAGAACAACTTCAGTATCGGCCACGTTTCAGGGAGAAAATTTGGTGGCGGACTACTTATCGAGGTCGGAGATGGATGCTGAGCTCCCAATGACAGCATACACAGTTAATAGCCTTGACGGAGACCCACTAGAACTCGTCCGGCAGCAAAAGGCTGACCCTAACCTTCGAGAGGTGATCAGAATGATAAAAGAAGGGGCAGATATTGACGAACGGCAGATGAACAACGAGGTATTAATGCTGCTTCGACAAAAGGAGAAACTGAGGATTAGCACATATGGAGCCCTGATCTGGCGAGATGATGATGAAAATTGGGTGGCAGTGATCCCAAAGAACATGCGACATAAGATGATACAGGAGTGTCACCAGGTAGCTCATACAGGTATCACACACGGTGCCAACTAATGAAAAGTAATCGATACATACACCCGCCATCGCAGTCAGTTCCCGTAACTGCAGTTGGTAATCTATAGTCAGTGGATGTGATGGGACCGTTCCCGCAGACGGCCAGCGGCAATCAATACCTGGTGGTGATGGCAGAAAATGCCACACGGTGGGTAGACGCCGTATCAATTCCAGATCAGCGGGCAAAAACAGTGACGGAAGTAGTCATCCGGCACATTGTGGCATGTCACAGAATACCGAAAACAATATTAACTGATCAGGGTCCCTGTTTTGAAAGTGACGAGTTTAAGTCCCGTCTGGAACAGTTTGGTATCAAGAGAATACGAACTACACCATATCATCCGCAGACTAACGGGCTTACAGAAAGAAACAACCGGATGTTAAAGGAATGGTTAGCCTCTAAAGGAGGGAATTGGGAGAAGGAATTACCACTAATCTTACTGGCGCATCGTGCCTCAATACAAGGAACAACCAAGAAATCACCTTCCCTGATTATGTACGGGAGACATCCGCGACTTTCAATGCACAATAAGACATGGCCGCAACAACAGAAGTGGACGGCAACAAGGTTAAAGAAGGAGAGGAGGGAGGCAATCAGCAATATAAAGAAACAGATGTCGCACAGAACGACAGAACAGCAGAGTAGGCAGTGGAAGCCGTTTAAAGTCGGGGACCAGGTAAAATGTAGAGAACGGAAAGGAACCGTGTCATGGGGACAAGGATCAGGGAAGCTGCTCCCGAAATGGGCAGGACCGTACATTGTTATTGAGAGACGTGGCTCTGTTTACACGATACTGAAAGGAGACAACCAAAAACGCGTGAATGCCAGTCAACTGCAGAGGTGGTTTCAAAATTATCAAGCGTGTGAGTCACGGAAAGCACCAAAGAAGACAGCGATACGGCGATCGGAAAGACTACGACGACAGCTTATTAAAAGGGGGGATGAGTGTGGTGTGAGCTACTTATGAGTAGTATATGACGTGAGTGTCAACGTAATGTCTGGCAGCAGAAGATGGGGGAAGATCAAGAAAGGAAGAGTTAGAACACAATGGAATTTGTATGAAACGCATGAATAGTGACGATGGATTGATGTTTTGCAACAGGAACAGTCCAGTTCGATAAGATGGACTGATCTTTTGCAAATAAACGATTTACGATATGGTTTTCCAATTTTACTGAGTAACTCTGTAATTTTCGCTAAATACAATTTGGTTGTCCTCACCTGTGTTTTTCTTCACTACACTACTACTACTACAAGGAATGATTTATCCACATGTCATACATTGATCTTGACCAAGTTCTATAAGTGACTGATAACAAAGTCACTGAGAAATCTCACAATATTAGCAGTTGTTAACAATTGTCGCATTTACATCTTAGTTTCTCAATGCTTCGTATTAAAAACCAACAGAAAAAAGAAAACAACATCGTATTTCAATAATTTACCTTCAACAGGGTAGTTAGAATGCCAGCAAAACCATGAGCTCCACCAAGATAACACTCATTGTACCACTCAAACATTAATGGTGGGATCGGCAAACCGCGTTTTGATGAATGACACATCAATCTATCATAAAAACCGTTCGATTTGTAAGCATTGGATATTTTCTGGCCAGACTTTAATATTGCATTCGTTATCTGAAATAAAACTGTCAACAGGATTATAACTATCTTCATTTGACAAAAACACACCAATTCATAAATCAGAAAGTAGAATGCCGTAACCTTGTCAACCAACATTCAGAAGATATACTCTTTGTAAAATATATACAATATATGACACGCTGAGAAGGTTGAGTATTCTTGGGGAGATCAAAGTTCTTCATGAAAAACAAAACGGATGGTTATTTTACCGACATCAGTATTAGTCACTCAACCGGAATCAGCACAACGCGTTTAAACTAACAAACACCATTTCAAAGAACGAAAACAAGAAGTTTAATTGTCGTTGGAAAGACTTCTCGCTCAGATTGTTAACCAAACAAGTAAGTATTGGTAATTACAAAATAACTCTGACCACAAACATTCAACATCGATCGGTGCTTACATCTCCCCATACCACTTATTCACATATCCCCTTTACACCTGAATCGGTGCGCTAAATCAATATTAGTAATAGATTTATGGCAAATTTATAAAACCGCTCATTTTTGCATGATCTACTACGGACAAACTAAAGATCATGTGACAAGCGCAAACACTAGAACCCACGCTAAAACATTTGCTTTAAACAGGTCACTCCAGCTTCAACGAATATCTTGAGAAACAACAATTTCAATATGGACATAGATTAGAATGATCACAGGACGAGTGCACATATCACATAATTACAGCTTGAAAAACACCATCGATTGTCAACCACAAAACATATTGTCATACAATTATTTGAATTAAACCAGTTCCATAAACTGACAAAAATTACCAACACTAATGGTGCTGAAGCAATCAACTCGTACATTCATTTGTCGTAATTCACCTTTACACGGTTAAGTGTGGTGCGCGCTACTTATATGTAGTGTATGACGTGAGTGTCAACGTAATTGCCTGGCAGCAGAAGTTGATGGGGGAAGATCAAGAAAGGAAGAGTGCGGAATTTGTATGAAACGCATGAATAGTGAAATGTCAGACAATGGATTGATGATGGATTGAAGATTTGCAAATTAACGGTTACGATATGGTTTTCCTATTTTACTGAGTAACTCTGTAATTTTCGTTAAATACAATTCGGTTGACCTCACCTGTGTTCTCCTTCACTACATAAGCACAAACAATTCATCAATAATCCGAAAGAAATATACATAAAATATAATTCGTCTGTAAATTTAAAAATAACACTAACTGTTCACAAAACATTAATATATGAACGAAGAATATTCTTCACAATAAAATCTTATCAGATTCCACAACTATATATCTAAATTAATAATCAAAACACCGGCCTACTTTAGGACAAAATACATTGTATCAAACTATATCGTTTACTACACAAACACATACCGACGAAACAACAGAGACAGGAATGTCGATACCATTTTCTTTCAGTGTCACCAGACAATTTAGATAACCTGTACGTCCATATAACGCTTCATCGGGCATCCCACTGTCTACGTTTAAGCCATAGTTACTCGCTGACAGAATTTGTTCAACGAATTTCTTTGTTTCTGCATTCTCAGTTCCATGTTTGACTGTTGATAAAGCAGCTAAACACAATGGACCGATAGGACTTGTATGAACACTTATATTTCTAGACAGCATTCTCAAGTCAATATGACGTAGACATCGATTTAGTAACTTTTCAGTACGTACAACAGCATCTTCACGTATCTTTTTGTCTAATAATTCACATTTTGATCGTGATAGGAAATTGTAGAATAATCCAATACCTACAAGACAAATAGAAACACATATTCACCGAGTAGTTTACACATAATTCACAAATTCTACAGTGCATGTTGACATTGAATACGCCTCAATGATTAGGTTTTGAGAACTCCAATTAAGAGCTAACTTTATCGAAACCACCGATAACGATCCATCTTGTGGAACACAAACAATACTATCAACACTCAATGAACTACTTCACTGCTGGACATCGTCGTTAGTCCCATTCGACTAACACCCACTATTGATGAATATCATTAGTCGACGCATATTCCATACATTGTATTTGTAGGAAGTGAAGCTCATCAGTAGTGCAGAATCTGATTTGGATTGCTCAGAGAATCTGGTGATAGGTTCTTGCTTTAGATTGAAAAACATATCCCAAAACCTTCACTAAGAGCACATGACTAGACCGACATCACATACATTTATCAAAACTTGTTCTAACTAAGCATAGTCACTCACTTAACTGATAATAATTGGTATTTCTATACATGTCATGGATTGTGGGGCACATCTACATCTGGTGTCATACAAAAATGCAACACCTGTATGCATAAACAAAAGTACACATTAGATCCACTGTGCAGGCATAAGTCTTTACATTAGAGGTTACAGTTCATTGTTTTGTTTATTTGAATACACAAACATTTTTACAAAGGGGCATCCAAATATTTATGCACCACACACATGGCAGTAGGACTTGTGAGTGGGTTGGGACACTGTCCGGACGCCCAAACCGAATCACGTTTGATTAGTTGCTTCAATCAACGTAAGAGGACAGCTTATTGTAAATACATCAGGACAACCGGTAGTCTCAAGTATATAAGTTCAGACTACCTGACCCGACCGTAGCTGCTACCTTGACGTGGTGGTCTGGCTTGACTATCGTGATCAGCCAAACGAGCTATATTGGCTGTAACGTAGGTTTTTTCAGCCTACTATGCCAGGCAGATCGATTGAAGAACGGTAAGACTAGAAGCAGCTACTCAAGAACTGGAGGCGAAGTCTTACTGGTGACTGTTGAAGGGTGTGGCGGCAGTAAGGTGTTTCCCTTGGGCAACCGGCATCCGCGTCGATGCTGCCTACTCACAAAGAAGGGAGGGGTTAGAAAAGGTCGACCCTAAAAATGTCACACCTCACCTTACCTCACGAATTTCCGTCTCCGGATGTAAGACCATTTGAAGGACGGAGCCGACAAATCAACTTCCTACAAAAAGGCAGTGCGTGACCAGACTCAAGCTGTTCTCCCTTGGACTCTATGGTCTCGCTAACAGGTCTCTAAGACCAACGTTAATCTACCTTCTGTTTCAGGTCACGCAACAAACACCCTTCCACGGTGTGGGCAACCGGTTACAGCACACAAGACCAACTTAGTCACGATCAAATCCTTCCAAAAACTCTTAACAACCCTCCTACATCTATGACTAAACACTCGCACATTTCTTCATTACTTGGCGCCGCTGACAAAAGCGATTTTAGTACACGAAACACTACACCTGCTCTCCTGAAACCACACTCTAATCAACACGTTGGAGCTTGCAATATTCGAAATTTATGCCAAATAAGACAACAGGCTTCCTTAGCTAAGACTCTGGCATCTACGTTGTAGCTGAATGACTCACTGACCTATCTGGATAGTATACGAGTGATTGTCGTGACCAATGATTGGAGACTATGGGTTACATGGTTCGAAATCATTTGCAGTGGTTCAGGTCCATCCAATTGTCGTTTTCCCCCATATCTCCTAACTTAGTTTAGATAGTTCGTTATCCCAAAAATTCACATTTTATTCCCAAATCGCATCTTCCATACCAACAATCTCTCATTATCACGAGTACTGTCACTATTCGTACTATTCTGCGATTTGTCCTGAAAATTTCATCTCACTATCCTAATAGAATGTGTCAACTCGAACTGATGCACACATGTCACAGGCTCTACTTTGTGTATGACTAACTGGCTGATTGACTGGGATCACTAAAACACATAACACTCACCTGACAAGCCAGTGTACATTGATATGTCAGATGATGGTAGCTTCTCAACATTTGAATTCAAAACATTTAACAGTTCAACAATTTTGTTTGGGATACTTGTATTCTCCACCTGAAGTGTGGTGCATAAGTAAATCCTGAAATTACTTTAAGCTGATTTCCAGGAACATAATCCTGGTAAGGGTTTTTAAAATGACGACCATCGTTAATCTCCACCATGTCAATGGTATACTTTTTTGAATTTAATCAGCTAACAAATGGTTGAAACGAAATGATCAAATTGTATCACACCAGAATTTTTCCTGCTCTGTACAAAAATGTTAACGCAAACATTTTAGAGAGAAAATAATAAAGAGAACGGTAAAAGTATTAAGTTGAACACTTAAAATAAACATGAGATAATTTGTTAATATGTTCGGTAAACAACAAAGTCTCCATAGCACAACATTCAAAACTTTGTAAAAAGTCTGTCATTAGTCAAATTAAGAATATTCTGTTGTGGAAACTGTATTCTGGAGAAGAATAAATGAATACAGAATCTTTAAAGAAACGTTGAATGGATGTATTTCCCTCGTATCGACTAACATCTGATATTAGAGACTCCGATCTTCTTACAAATTATAACCAATAAGTACGTTACAAATAGATACTTAATGACCGTATGAACTGATTGTATACCGTTCTGTTTACTCTTAAATTCGTCCAAACTCGTCATCTGCTACTGAATATGGTAAACTTGCACTCTTGGTGACTTGGTATGCACACCTCGCGTTACAGACACAAAAATCTATGGAGGTAGTCGGATTTTATTGATCAATCTACTCCACACCTAACCTTAACATAGCTAACCTGATGACTTAACGATACACTGGTAGCTTTCTACAGATTCACGACCACATGACAGTGTCGTTTTATTCCTTGAAGGAATGGTCGACAGCCACAAGGCACTACACAACAAATTGCCCAGCGATTTACGCACTTTTGAACACATCTAGCCTCAATCACACATAGTCCTAATAGGTGACGACCAGACGAGATTCAAATGTCACTACTAATATATTCCACAAAATCCCAAATTCTCAAAAGATTTTTGCGTATACCATTCTTAACATTAACTTGGTAGTTTTCGCGGTAAAAGTTCAGTGTGACGACCATATCAGGAAACGCCGACTAGTTAAGGACAATCAAAAGCTAAAACTCCCAAAGTATCAGTGGGATAATAACCTTGACGTGAAAAACAAGTGGAAGAAAAAGGACAAGTTCACACATTAGAATTCAGGTTAGTGTTACGAGTTCGAGTAATCACATCAGTTTTCATCATGGCGTGACACAACCTATACCCTCTCAGTTTACTGTCAACACAGTTAAGGGACTCGAAATTTTGTATAATTAGAGACCGGGGATACTACCTAGCTCCACTAAACACTTGATAATGTCTTGAAACACAAGTATCTTGATATCCCATTTGCATTCAGACCAATTATACTCTGTATTCTAGCTGAAACAGCATCTTAAATTCACGATTCCCTTTCATAATATAAATTTATATATATTCCAAGCATTTTATCAAAATACATGTTGCAAATTTTTACTTCATTTCTTCGGGGCAGATGAGGAAGGTAATAACTTACTGCGATCGTTTATCGTTCAAAGTTGCTGGAACACTCGAAGGTCAAACTATGATAAAACGATTGGTGCGTCACATCGACAATTCATGGGTCTTTCGAGAAGCGGTTAAATCAAGATAATTGCATGTAACACATTCGAAGCCTTACAGTAAACAGCTTTTAGTTTTGATTATCAGTTTCTCTTGATGTCGTACTTGCGTTATTTCTGGTTGCTGTCTATTGATTTCTCTATTCAATATCCAATATTCAATATCTTTTTCACGAGCTAGTGTACACCAATTTGATTTCTTGGAGCTCGATTCTTGTTCTTTCGGTACAGTTCCAGGTGTTCGGTAATGTCCAATGGATGGAGGTCTAGCCACTCGATTGTCTAATTTTAGTCAGTTGGCAGTCGGTTGTGAGTTTGAATGTCTCGGGATTTGAAACGTTCGTTTCAGGGCAGTAGGGTTTCTGGATACTAGCAGCCGTCACATTGCCAGACCGGAGATCAGTTAGTTGTAATGAGGAGAGTAATAAGGGTAATAAGGCTTAAATTCAAATGATAATATGAATAAAATTTCAGTACTGAGTAATATTAAGGTGAGTTTAGTTTGTTATTTGGTAGTGAGGAATGTGAGAGAGGACCGAAGTTTGAACAAGAGAGAGAAAATAGAGATATTAAGCGAGATAGATTAATTGAGTGATCTGAGGAAATGACTATGGTAACAGCTAGCAGGTCTCAAGATATGCATCATGAACAGCTTGTCCAAGAGGGAGATGCTAGTCCATATGTGAGTACATGATTATCAAGTCTCTTCTTAAAGCTGTTCACTGAGACGGCTGTGGTTACCTCGGGTGGGAGAGCATTCCAAGTTGCGACGACTCGCAATGAGTATTCGCTCTTTGATGTGCAATGTTTCGAGGATTGCCTTGAGGGGAGTGGTCCTCACATTAGGATGGTTTAGCGTGTTTAATATGGTGTACGCCATAATCAGATCGCCTCTGATTCTCCTGTAGCTCAGTGGAAATAATCCCAAGAGCTGGAGTCTATCGTTGTAGGGTTTATTTTTCAACCCTATCACCCATCTGGTTGCTCGTCTCTGCACTCGATCCAAGAGATTCGTCTCTTTTAAGCAGAGGGTGTGCGATGACGTTGTGAACCCCCAAGTGTGGGCGCGCGTACGCCTTAAACAGGGTTAAAAATAATTTCGGGGTGATAGCACCAAGTTGTCTTCGTATAAAGCACTTGCCTTGGCTGCATCCCCTACATAGTTCGGTCTCGTGTGGAGGCTTTCTGTGGTTATTAAACCAAGATCGCGCTCAGATGAGACATTGGGGAGGGGTATATGCCGTTTGCGTCATATGAGGCAGGAAATGCATGACGTGGCACTTCGGTTGGTTGAGTTTTAAACCGTTCTCCACTGCCCATTCCTCCATAGATGTAAGGTCCTTTTGAAGCTCAGTCGAATCTTCTTCGCTTCTAATAGACCTGCAGATATTCGCATCATCTGCGTAGATCAATGCCGGTTAGCTAATTTTGTCTAAAAGATAGTTAATGAATATCAGGAAGAGAAGAGGACCTAAGATGGTCCCATGTCAAACTCCCGATGCGGATACTCGCTAGCTCGCGTGCACTCTGTTTACCTTGGTACGAAACTTCCTATTCTCAAGGTAGTTTCTGGGCCAAGATAGGAGCTGGTCATTGAAGCCCATTTCCACAACATTTTCGACTAGGGTACTGTGTCAAAGGCTTTTGCAAAGTCGAGAAATATTATGTGCGCCAGTATTTTACGGTCCAAACAGGATGTCCGACTGTCCCATGCGATGAGGAGATTAGATGCAAACGACCTGCCTTTCCAAAACCCGTGTTGAGCTTCATGGAATATTTTATCCTTATCCATGTACTCCCTCATTTGTTCGTCCACTAGTAGCAGCAACTCTCAAGCTACAACGCTTCGACTACGCGCTGCGACCATCTGCGTACATGCGAACACTGCCTCCGGTATCAACTAGACAAATCTCTCTTCCTCCAGTGAAATTAGCCTATGCATATGTTTCCATACGAGTAGATTTGGTACTAAAACCGCTTCACCAGCCTAATGAAAGATCGTTTTACGTGAAGACGCTCAAAATTGGTCGACACGATCTGCCCTTGGTTTCGGATGATTGAAAAGCAGTTAGTGACATGTTACTTGGATATCAGGTCATTGTGCCTTAATCATTATATTCTGTAGATTTGCCTCATTTCTAACAGTTTAGTTCTTCCGATCTCCCATATTCATGAAATCATTTGCGTATTTGTTACCTAACTTGTAACTTGTCTTCATTAATCTACATGAATGCAAGTTTTTAGGAAGTTATCCGATACAGAAAAAGAAAAGTTTGAGTAATCGCACCTTTGTTTTATTCAAAGAAGCATCGATCGACTCATGAATCAACTATAAACACGAATATTTTCTGTTTTGCTCGTTGTTATGATACATTGAATTCCCATAGGTTATTGATATGATCTACCAAATATACCACATCTGTGATCTCAAACCTTGAAGTATCAAGCTGCCCTTAAAAGCCATGTTAATTCGTATTCGAAAGATTGATATTTCATCATCGGTGTTAACCTGAATTTTCTCAGACTACAGAATGTCCTAGTGAAGTCCTCCAGGGTTCAGTAATGAAGCCGTTTATCTTCTTAATTTATATAAATGACCAACCACACCAAGTACTGTTAGAGTCACTGATTTTGTTGCCAGTATAAAACTTTGCAGAAAAGAATGCAACCGATGTCGGTCGTCGACGGAATTCTTCATTCTGTTTAATTATACCCCTGTTGAAGACTTTGCCTGGTATTGAGAGAAGAGTGATACCTCTGTAGTTCTCACACTTGCTGAGATCGCCTTTCTTTGGTATCTTGATCAGGTGTCCTTCTTTCCAATTTGTTGGTACTTGTTCTGCATCCCAAATCTTGCTTAAGAGGATATAGAGTATCTGTAATTGCTTCGTCTGCTTTCGTAGACTCTACTGGAATGTTATCTGTTCCCTCTGCTTTGCCGCTCTTGATTTGTCTAATAGACATGCTGATCTCTTCAATTGTTTGTGGGCCAACGTTGATTGGTAGGTCTGCGGATGCTGCTTCGATGTTGGGTGTGTTCAGTGGAGCTGGTCGATTCAAGAGTTCCTTAAAGTGCTCCACCCACCTATTTCTCTGTTCTTCAGCGTTGCTGATTACTTTGCCTTCCTTGCTTTTCACTGGCCGTTCTGGTTTACGATGGTTTCCAGCGAGTTTCTTTGTTGTATCGTATAACTGTCTCATGTCTCCTCTTGTAGTCTTTTCTGCCATCATTGCTAGATCATTCACATATTTTCATCTGTCGGCTCTGATGCTCTTCTTCAGTTTCCTGTTTGCATCTGTTTATTCATCATGTTCTCTAACTTTCTCCGCTCTTGTTCAGCTGACATTGATTAATGCTTGAGGTACTTTGGACCGAAATGTGTAATGATTAACCCAAAAGTAATCTGTAAATGTCACAGAAATAAAGTAGGCAACGCTACTAATTTCATTCAATAGGAATTAAATGCCTGGACATTACGATGTTGAAAGTTCCAATTCAGAAA